TTCATTGCTTCCTGAGTTCTTTCTCCTGTTGTTCAGTGTACTTTTCAGAGTTATGTGGTGCTAGAAGGAAACCAGGAACCCTCATGCAGAAAGCTGCTCCCCTCAGCAGACACCACCAGTCTGCTTAATTTTTCTGCTGCTCTTAAGTTCTGGGAAGTGCTTTCTCTAGCTTTATACAGCTAGTCTTTTCTATTTGCCTTCCTTTGTCACCATGAGGCCTTGTTGAAGGTCAAGTAAATCAACCCATGACTGTTCACTTGAGATATGTTATCTAAGAGTCACACAGCCTTTATAAGGATCCTCATGTTGTGTTCTGCCCTGGAAGGACAGACTTGAATTGATAAATTTCACATCATCACTTCCCTACTCCAGCCCTGGTAATTTGTGGTTGAGCCATGTATATTCAGTCTGGAGTTACTGGTCCCACAAAGGGACACCAAAAGTTTTTGAGGAAATACCTTTCAAGATGCCTAATTCCCTACATCTGATCCATCTGAGCTGGAACCTAAGGATGGACTATAAGTAAGCCTTTGGTCCATCCATGTCTTGTTATAATTGTCCAAGAGACAATGCTTTCTGTCATCTGTATCACCTGGCTCTCACCAGCAGGATCTAGCTCTTGTGAGAAAGCCCCAGAGAAGTCAATCAGACAAGAAATGAAGAACGGTCCATTCTTACATGCTGGCAAATTCATGGCAAGGCCATTGAGTCTGAGCTCAGAATCAAGAGGTGTTAAGAGGTGTTTTTCACAGAGGACACAGATTTAGCATGTTAAAGCATAGTATTTTTTTTTTTTAGTGCGGTGAGATAAACTGAATGCTTCTAGTGAGAGAATATCATTAATAGTCACTGAATATGCCCTGGTAAGATGTTATCAATCACTTTACAGATGCTGAAAAACTGAGTGAGTATAATACTGGGTTACAAACTGTTGAAGGTTTCCTCGCGGGTCCAGCCCACGAGGGACTGCAGGGAACGAGGGTTCTAGCCGAGGTGGGGGTGAGAGGCGTGGAGTCAACACACAGACACCACCGGGAGTCAGGTGAGAGCAGGCACTAGGCAAGGTGCTGCAGACTCGTTTATTGCTGAGAAGTGCAAGCCTTATATACCTCTCCCCCTGCCCCCAGTGTCCCATAAGTTGCTGTGTTGCTTCCTGATAGATCCCCTCATCCAGGCAGATTGTAGGTTGACTATTTTGTGGAAGTGTGGGCTGCGCTCTCAAAGCAGAAGCTGTGTTCTCTAGTGCAGCCTATGCTTAAGCCTGGCACTTCCTCTCTTATAACAAACCCCTTTGCAAATCAGGTATTTTCCAATTCATTGCTTTAATAGAAATTGAAAGAGGAACTAATTGAATTGTCAGCTGTGCGATTATTAAAATAATTTTTGGAAGTTATATTACTGTGTAATTTTTGCCATATATCTTAGAAGGCATTCAAAGATTTGAATGCCATGGCCATACAGCATTTTATTTCCATCTTTGGGCTTATGTGAACAAGGTTTCTTTAAAAGCAGAAGTAGAATTAGAATTGATCCTAAATGCTATCCCATTCTAACAGTAAATGATTTCTTTATTCACGCTGTAAAAAACCAGGTTGTCCATGTGATTAAGTGCTATATTTACAATACAAGTTGACTTTTTATGTTTAATTATTACTTAAAATGTGCAGCATATTTATATTGTTTCATCAATTTTACATTTGTGATTATAACTCATTTTAAAAGCAAATATTATTACTTAGAGTTTTATAGCCGAAGGACATAAAAGAAATTTAAATTTCAATCTCTCTATATTTTTGTTACAAATAAATTTGATAGGTGATCAATAAAATGTTTTCAAGCATAAAATACATCCTGCTGAGAACATAGAATGGAAATACAAGTTCAAGTTCAAAAAGGAACAATACACATTTTATGACTATTAGAGAATAGCTTGCTCATGAATTTAAAGATGGATAATCATGATTTTCAATTACTGTGATGTTTAAATTCCACTGAACACACACTTACACATGCACATGTACAAACACACATTGTACAAATAAATTCTGTAGCATTTTTATTTTAAAGTAAAATATTCTCTATCATCCAAAAGTGAATTCTTTGAAGCTACTGTAGTTTAAGTAACTATTTTAGTCGCTTACAAACATGCAAAGGATTGTAAACTATCCAAAATAAAAGTAAGAATATTTATTTGTGTTTTGTCACCTGCATTTGTATTGGATCCTTGAACTGGAATATGGCCCCCTCCCTGTGTCTCAATTTATATGTCCAGGCTTCTGATTCCTGGAATCCCACTATTAAGACTTCATTCTGTGAGAGAACTTATTCAAATAGGTGTTTGGTCTTTCTTTCTGTAATATTCATAACTATAAAAGATTACACATTAGTCCTTATTTACAACTGGGAGTGAATGAATTGGTCATATTTTTCCTGTAGGAAATGCTTTTGAAAGTGAGGTGCAAAGGGGGCCTATTAGTGTTTTTAGCTTCCTAATCACAAGAAAACAGAGTTTTCCAAACCTCTGGGAACTTGCTCATATGAACTTACTAACAATAGTGACAGCGTGTACAAGACCCATACAAACTCAGTCACATGAAAACCCAGCATAGAACTGAGGAAATGGGCAAGAAACCCATTGAGCTGATGAACTATTGGCAGCTGATCACAGTTGGCTGAGGGAGAATGGTCTTGAAGGGGCTGATGCTAGGTGGACCAGGCTCCAGTGGATGAACTCACACAGAGGGACATCTGGGACACATGTGGCTCAATAGGCTTTAACATATATGCAGAATGCATGAAATATAGTGGGCATGGGGCTATAGGAGAGTGCAGTTAGAGGAAGAGGTTCAAATATGATTGAGATGTATGAAATGTACAAAAATTCAGTAAAAATACATATTGAAAAAATTTAAAAGAGAAATGGAAACTGAGCAGGATAGGAAGTGGGGACTCTGGGATGGGCCATTATTTATGCCTTTTGCCAATGACACACCTGTGAAGGTGGGAAAGAATCACTCAGAGAATGGGGAGGAGCTCAAGCTTGTCTTACTGGTATTACTGATATTAATCTTACCTTGAAAAGATGCAGAAATAGACCTGTAACTGTTTTTGGTCAGTGGAGGATAAAAGTTTTCATAGGAATACTAGCCTAGGATTCTATTTCAGGTTAAAAAAAAATCAATCCTAGCTTTTTACCTTTGAATATATATCCATAAGGAGAAGTTATGTGTGGTGACCTAAAGAACCTCAAGGCCCCTTGTGGATGATGGGGTTGATCCTCTTGAGCTTTATGATCTTTGCATTATACACATATTACTCACTATGTACTGTTTACATTTAAAACATAGTTGTTTTGCCTACGTAGTTTGAGAAAACTATGTGGGGAAAAAACTTATGTCAGGAAAACAGTATTTCCTTATTCTGCCATGAAAACCCATAATCACTACCCTAGCCCTACATTGTAGCCACCTACTGAGTGACAGGTGGGCCTGCACAGAAAAAGACATTAGGGACTAGAATCTGGTAATGTTTTTCTCTCTCCTGCCCACCAGGGAGAGTCCCTCTCTAGACTGGATGCGTTTCTGCAGTAAGGAAAGCTGTTTGGTACTCCAAAACCCTGCACAGTTCAGACTGTTTTAAGACTGAGTTCTTTTAGGTGTGCATCTGTCCCCTCAACTTGACTGGAGAACCTCTGTAATCAGTCAAGTGGTCATCAGACTGGTGGCCAAGCCTTGTTGCCACCAGTGGTTTTACTTGGAGGTGACCAACTCATCTGTCTTCAGGACACCAGCACTGCTGCCATTGCCCAAATCCCCATGCAACTATGGGTTGTGGGAGGGCCCACCCTGGACCCTTCAGAGCACATCCATTTCCATAAGGCATTCAAGGTCCTTCTGTATGTATTTCCAGGTTCTTGGCTCCTGGGGCCCATCTGCCAATGCTCTACCCAGCTACAGGCACGTTTTTCTCTGCCTTGGGGGTTCTAGGAAGCAACAAGCAAATGTTGTTTATAGCCCTGCATGGCTGGAGAGTGGCTGAAGGGGGTTCTCTATGATTGGAAACTCTTGTCAGTTTCCAGGGAAGAGGGAGGGGCTAAAAAGGAAGAGGGACACTGCTAGTAATCTTCCCTCCTCCGAAATCTAAAGCAGTAGCCAGAAGTTCCTGAAAAAGTGCTGGTTTTCTGAGGTAAATTTTACCAGAGTTGTTATAAATTGTGGTTTTCTGGCTTTGAGAAGCTTAGGGGTACAAGGAGATTATCAACACCTGGGGGTGGGGTTCTGAAGTAAATAAGTTCAGGTTTTGATTAACTACAAGTTAAGTATTTGCTTTGTGGATTATCGTGACCTATTTGCAATACTGATCCACTTTCTGCCCCCTGTGCCTCTGGGCATTTTCTACTGCAGCATGGTAAATGTACTCAAGAAATATAAACTAATTTTTATATAAGGCTGGGGGCTGAGATAAGAGGGAAAGCAAATGGGTAGCCAAGATATTCACATAATATGTTCCTAACTCAAGTAGAAATGATTTTATATCATGGCTTCCTTAGGATGATTCAAGCCTCTCTTTTCTTATGTTCAGGAAGTTTCATTAATAACTGATTTATTTTTTATTTTTTTAATTTATTTTGTGTGTGTGAATGTTATGCCTGCATGTAAGTAAGTGCACCCATGCTGTGCAATGCCTACGGAGGACAGAAGAGGCTGTTGGATCCCCTGGAACTGGAGTTACGGACAGTTGTTAGCTGCCATGTGGGTGCTGGGATTCGAACCCAGGTCTTCTGCAAGAACAGTCAGTGTTCTTAACCTCTGGGCCATCTCTCCACCCTGATTTCTCTTTTTTAGCACTATACTGTTGTTTCATTTTCTCTTTGACGTATACCACACGTGTATAATCTCTCTCTTCTTCCTTCCCTCCTTCCTTTTCTTCTTCCCCTTCCCCCGTTTCTCCTTCCCCTCCCCCTTCTTCTTCCCTGATTTTTTCCTCCACATATATCACAGGTGTACCATAGATGATCGTGTCACCAGGGTAGCCTGGCTAAACCGCAGCACAATCCTCTATGCTGGGAATGACAAGTGGTCCATAGACCCTCGAGTAATCATCCTGGTCAACACGCCAACCCAGTATAGCATCATGATCCAGAATGTGGATGTATATGATGAAGGTCCATACACCTGCTCTGTGCAGACAGACAATCACCCCAAAACCTCCCGGGTTCACCTCATAGTACAAGGTAAGTCACAGATAGCAGTGGACTGGGAGAGTGATCTTGGTCTTTGTACTCATGTATGAAGACACAAAGGTCACTTTCCTCTAATGAATCCATGCATTGGGAACTGAGTGTCTTCTAGAAGTTTTCAGTTCTAGCTATCCTTTTGTTCTCATCAGTAAGTTGTTTTGCACACACTGGCTGTTTTGCACACACTGGCTATTCTGCACACACTGGTTGCTTTGCACACAGTGGTTGTTTTGTACACACTGGCTATTCTGCACACACTGGCTATTCTGCACACACTGGTTGCTTTGCACACACTGGTTGTTTTGCACACACTGGCTATTCTGCACACACTGGCTATTCTGCACACACTGGTTGTTTTGCACACACTGGTTGTTTTAAACATACTGGTTGTTTTTCACATATTGGTTGGACCTTCTTAAGAAATGATTTTCAGAGCTGGTGCAAAGCTCAGACACAGGTATTATTCAGTCCTTTATTTTGCTAAGACTTGTTTCATAAAAAAAGGTTAATGTTGATAAGAAACTGGCCACATGTGTCCTGAACAAGGCTCTGGGTTCTGGCATTGGGTCCTCTCAGACATAGCCACTGTGTTTATGCTTCCACATATCCCCACAATAGAGCCCAAATGGACATTATCAGAAGAGTGTCTGAGCATCCGCTCCCATTCTACTTTTTAAAAACTGAATCAGTGTATCCCAAACACAGTGGTATCACATGTATTTTTGGTAGTTTTTAATTTATATTACATTTTCTAGTTAAAAATGAAATTGAAGCAATGTCATAACCTCAGATATCAGATATGAAGTATTACAAGTTAAAAAGACCTGCAGATACAAGTTATAAGAATCTGAAGACGATTTTAAGTAAGTCAGGAATGTAAAGGAGCTTATTGTGAACTGTCCCAATTGCCATCACTGTAGAAAGCATTTTGTCATAATAGGACTAACTTACAAATAGAAGAATTCCATCTCCAAATAACACACCCTTCCTCCAATGACAGGTTTTAGGTGGTCTTGCTCAGAACATCTGTGGCTGATATCTTAGAGAAGAGACATCCTGTGAGTTCGCAGTACAGGACTTGGTGTGTGACTTAGTATTTATCAACTCCATCTTATCAGGTTCTTTTTGCAATAAAGTCAACTGATTTTTCTTTGTTTTTATATTGAGATTATAAATGTATATAGCATCCTTGTATAGCCAAGAGATTTTTCTCATCTCTTCTTTAAAAAAATTTACTTTTATTTTATGTGTGTGAATATTATACCTACATGTATGTAAACACCAGTGCTATGCAGTAGTGCCCATGGAGGACAGGAGTGGGCATCAGATCTCCTGGAACTTGAGTTACAGATAGTTGTTAGCCACTATGTGGGTGCTGGGATTCGAACTCCAGTCTTCTACAAGAACAGCCATTGCTCTTAAGCACTGAACCAGCTCCCCAGCCTACATCTCTGCTTTTTTGAAAAATAAGATGTAGCTCATTTCAGTTAGTTTCAAGAACACAGTTGATGGGGTTAATGTCTCTCTACTCTTCCTTACTTATACCATTTTGGATTCCCATTCTTTCCTTTGACTGAACAACCATTTGTCAATTCCACATGTACCTCTGTGGGCCATTTGCAGTGGCGTATTCAGCTGGAGATCTGTTTCCTGCAACTTGCCTCCCCCAGCTCCTGGGAGAGCCACAGTGCTGAAGGTTGACTTCTCTGCAGCTTGGGGGTTCTCCTTCCTGTCCCACATGACATCAGAGACACACAGGGATCTGCCATGAGATAGGCATCTATAGATTCAGCTGGTTCCTTCACACTGTCCATATGTATTTCAACCACAGACAGGGGATTGATTGAGAATCACCTCTTGGAGACTCAAGATTGGCTGCTATCTGGAACTAAAGGCATGGGCATGATTGACATTTCTACAGGGACAGTGAAGACACTGTGTTAGAAATTGGAATCTCAGGTAGAAAATAAAAAATACAACCTTGACAATCCAGATTGACTTTATAGAACCAATGAGGGGTGGATAGCTGACCAGTGGGATTTGGTGCAACAGTCACACTGGTCAGGGAGCAGAGCAGTTTAAATATGTTCACATGTGGAGATAGAGTTATGGGGATTGGGTAGGGGTGTTTGTAAAGGGCATAGGGTCCACATTGTTTGGAAGGACTTGTTTACAGAACAGGAATGAATTTACAGTTGGGGGCATTATGTTTCAGGGCCTCTAAAATTATGAGGGCTGGGAGGACTGTGGCCACCATTGCCTGAAGGCAAAGGGTCCAGCTCTGGTATACTAAATCAAGCTGTGTAGAGAGATAAGTGATGGGATGATAAGTTGATAAGTCTCATGGGCCTTCTGACAAAGGAGGGCCAGAACCTGTCCCTTATCAGAAAGAAGGAAAAGGAAAAATGGCTTAAGGGGATTAGGGAGAAGCGAGGGACCCATGATATGCCCAGTCAGCCACGGCATTTAATAAAATAATGGTGTGTTCTATACATGTTTCTTTGGCAGGGCTGTAGAGTTATAGATCATCTACATATTGCAAAAAGTGATTGGGTGAAGGCATAAGGTAGAAAGATACATTTGTAGGGCCTGGCCAAAATAGTGTAGACTGTCCCTAGGGCAGGATTGTTCAGGTATTTAGTTTGTTAGTATCCTCCCAGATGGAAAAAAAGAGGCTAAGAGTTGGGTTCAGGAAAATAGTAAAAAAAATGTGTGTTTTAAGATCTGGGAAGAGAAGTGACTGGCCTGAGGAGAGATGGTCGATAAGAGGGTTTAGGGGTTGGGGACCCCTGGATTAGTGGGGATAATGATGTTACTTATTTTCCTGAGGTCTTGGACTAGCATGTATGAGCCATTCAGTTTTTTGACTCCCAGGATGGGGTATTATGGTGAGAATTTATGGAAGTGATGAGGCTGGTTTTCAGTGAGTGAGTGATGAGAGGTTGGAGGCCTCTGCAGAGAGCAGGGCAAAGTGGATACTGGACCTAGGTGATATAGGAGTTGGGGTCCCTTAAGGAGACCTTGACAGGATGGTGGTGTTTGACATTTGTTGGGTTGTCAATATCCCAACCTGGGGATTGACCTTATGAGGGAGTGGTCTTCAGAGATGGGACAGATCATGCCAGCCAGGCCAGAGTCTAATGTTAAAGAAAAGATAGTTGTTGAATTAAAAAGGGGAGGTGTAGGGTGGCCCCAAGTATTTTTTAGTAAATCCCATCTTAAGTGGGACATGGAGCATTTGGGCATGACAAAGGAGTGTGATGTAGTTAATTGTTCTAGTGTACAAAGGACCTTAGGGGTGAGCCTAGGAAGGTAGGGATGCCCCAAACTCCAGTTACAGGAGTGTGGGAACTTGAATAAGGTCCTGACCAGGAGGTGAAGAAGGAAAAGGACACCCAGTGTCGACCACAGAGATAAAAACCCGGCCTTCCTTGAATGACTCATTGAAGGCATGTGGACCTGCGCCACCTTGTTCTAACAACTGGAGGCTGGAGGGATTGTTACTGGAGGGAATGAGAATCACCAAATATAGGCCTTGACAACCATGGAGGCAGTCCATCTTCCAGTGGCCCCGCAGTTCGAAGAATAGACAGGGAGCTGCAGGTTTAGGCAAGCCTTTGCCTTAGTGGCCTTACCTGCCACAGTGGAAGCAGTCTCCAGGACAAGTCCACTGGGAGGATGTGGGACTGGGGGTATCCTTCTGAAGTAACCAGTTCTGGAAGGTTAAGCCATGACTTAGTACTTGACCTTTAAATGTTTTTCCTTTTCCCTTTTCACCTCATCTTCTTGATATTAAACACCTTAAACACTACGTTTAAGCATACCTATTGGAGGGGGGCGGGGGTCTCAGGTCCCTGTTCTAGCTGTCATAATTTTTTTTGGATATCAGGAGCTGAGTGGCTGAAAAAAAATCGTTGTGAAGGAAAAGGGTGTCTGCAGGGGTGGAAAGATGTAAATTGCTATGTTTGGTAAGTTGGGTCGTGAACAGGACTGGCTTTTCCTATATGCTCTGTGCTTTTGGTTTCTTCTGATTTTGTCATAGTTAACATGTGTGGGGTATTCTTTTGCATGCAATTTAGGAGGTAAGTGACCATATGGTTGACACAGAATTTACCCACATTGTTCAGCTTGGTAAGTCCTGCCAAACTCAGCACTGGGAAGGGTATCATCCACAGTGGGGTAATGGGTATTGACCTTTAATTGACCCAATGCGAGGTGGCTAACTGACCAGTGCGAATCAGCACAGCATCCACAAGGGTCAAGCCACAATGTAGTTTAAGTATGTTCATGTGTGAAGATAGAGTTATGGGGGTTGGGCAGGGGTGTTTGTAGAGGGCTTAGGGTCCACACTATTGGGAAAGATGTGTTAGTAGAACAGGAATCACTTTACTGTTGGGGGTAGTATGTCCTGGGGCCATATGCTGTAAAGGGCTAACATTGCTCTAATGAAGTCCATCAGCAGGAATGATGATGGGTTATGACCGGGGTCAGGGGTTGTTTTTTTGTTTTGTTTTGTTTTTTGGTGAAATCTCCCTTTAAACTGGATGAGACTAGTATTTGGAGACAGGCTGGAATATCCCACTTCCTGCTTGCTTCTTGGGCCTGGTTCCACAGGAGCTAAAATCATCAGTGCTGAAGGTAGCACCTCCATGGTTTTCAAAACATCACTGAATTCACATCCAAGGAGTGTGGCGCTGAAATACAAAATAATAATGAGTGTCAGGCACTGTGCAGAAACAGGCTCAGAAAAAGGCTATTGCCATCAGGGAATAAGACAAACAGTATAATCAGATGAGAGCAGCACAGGCTATGGGAAGGGCTTCAGAGATGATGCCTTTGCAGTGTACTTTGGGTAATTCCTGGCACAGCCTGTGGAAGCCTACATTGTACTTGGGGCCGCTTAGCTTAGGTCAGGAAAAGTTTGAGAGTGAGGGTACATGTGGTAACGGCTCCTTCCATTCTAGAGGTCAGGTCCCCTAGTCTCTGCATTCCAG